AAAATACTTAATTCAAATTCAATAAATTTGAATTATTTTATTCAAACAACATTTAAAAAATTAAATAATTTAAAATAGAATGATTTCAAACTTAATGTATTTGAATTTCTTAAAAATTACAAAATAGCTTATCCACATTAGGAAGGAAGCGGGAGAAATGTCTTTCAAATCTTAATTGTGCAACGTTAACAATATTTTTGCATTGTAATGATTTACTTTATTATTTCTTTGTCTTTCTATGTTTTAAATTATGTGTTGATTTATTTTTACAATATTATTTTTATATATGTCAAATTTCAACAGTTTTATCTTTATTTCTTTTATTTCTTTTTCTCTTTTTTTCCTCTTTTTTTTTATCTCTCTTTCTTTTTCTTTTTCCCCACCCTGTAATCCTCAGTAAAACTTTTTTAATAATAATATTATTTATTAATAATAATTTTTTATTAATAATTAATTATTTATTAATTATTTTTTACTATAAATATATAAATTGGTCAACAATAATTTTGAGATTTTATACAATGCCACCCACATGATCCCCACCTATATAGGTTCTATCTCTAGCTCTTACAATAAAAAAAAAAGTTATTAAGTATTTCATCACAATTCAATGTTCATATTGATTAAGAAGTAGGGACAAATGATCCCGCTCTCCAATATAGAATTGAGAATTCTGTTGGAGAGCAGAGAAAAATTAAGAAATACTGTATGCACACGTATGCACACTACGTGTTTGTATATTTGTGTAAGTGTTATATGAAAAGGTATCAAATACAACAAAGAGAGATAACTCTTATATACAGATTTAACTACAAAAAACAGAATTGTAACAACACCAAACAGAAATTGAATTATAACAGAATACAACATTCCCCCTTAATTCAATTTCTCAAACTAACAACACCTAGTTCAACCCTTAACATTTCAAACCTCTCCTTCTTCAAAAATTTGGTAAAAATGTCAGCCACTTGATGCTGAGTAGGACAGTAAACCACATTCAATATCCCTTTATTCACTTGCTCCCTCAAAAAATGAAACCTAGTCTCAATGTGCTTACTCTTTCCATGAGACACAGGATTATTTGCCAAATTTATGGCTGATTTATTATCAACATACAACTGAATAAGCCTTTACCCTTATTTCTATCATGAGTGAATCAAGCCAAACTGCTTGACATGCAGCATTTGAACCTGCTATATACTCTGCTTCACATGTGGATAAAGCAACAACAGGTTGCTTCTTGCTACACCAAGAGATTGGTGCACCCATGAACTTGAACAAGCATCCTGTAGTACTCCTTCTATTATTGCTATCACCCCACCAATCTGCATCAGAAAAACCCGCATCTGATCTGACTTAGGAAATAGAATTCCAAAATCAATAGTCCCTTTAATGTACCGCAGTACCCGTTTTGTAGCTAGCACATGCTTCTTCCTTGGCTGATGCATAAATCTGCTCAAAACTCCAACAGAAAATGCAATATCAGGTCTACTATTACACAGATACCTAAGTGAACCAACAATTTGCTTGTAGAGTATGCTGTCAGCCTCTTCTTCATCACCTTCAATCACTGGAACCTTTGTCTCAGCTGGTATTACAGCTGGATTGCAATTCTCCATGCAAAATTTCTTCAGAATTTCTACTGCATACCTTTTCTGATATAAGATTACTCCTTTACTAACTTCAACAAACTCCATTCCAAGGAAGTATTTTAATCTTCCAAGATCAGTCATCTCAAATTCAACCATCAATAACTCCTTGAATCTACTTATTTCAGCTTGATTGTTACCCGTAAGAAGCAAATCATCAACGTATATGCACATTAACAGCATATTGGTTTCATCCAGAATTTTAACATAGACTCCATGCTCCACTGGACATTTTACAAACTGATGCTTCATCATAAACGCATCCATCAACTTGTTCCAGGACCTTGGTGCCTGTTTCAACCCATATAAAGTCTTCTTTAATCTGAAAATTTTATTTTCACTCCCTTTAACCGGAAATCCAGGAGGTTGAGTGACATATACTTCCTCTTCAAATGGACCATTGAGAAAAGCCGATTTCACATCAAGTTGAAACAAAGACCAACCTTTTCCAGTTGCCAAAGCTACCACCAACCTTATAGTTTCAATTCTAGCTACAGGAGCAAAAACTTCAGTATAGTCTAGACCTTCTTTCTGCAGGAATCCTCGTGCAACAAGTCTTGCTTTCCTTTTATCAATATCTCCATTTGGATGTAATTTCAACTTGAAAACCCATTTTACATCAATGGGTTTCTTGTTCAGATGCAATTCTGTTAATGTCCAGGTTCCACTCTTCTCAATTGAATGCAATTCTTCCATCATTGCAGCCTTCCACACCTCATGCTTCATAGCTTCTTCATAATCAATAGGTTCTGCTTCTGCCAGTAATGCGAAATGAACCAAATCTCCTTCATTATTTATAGCATTACCGGGATAAACTTCAAAGTCAATCAATGCTCTTGGCATGGTTCTCTTCCTTGATTCTCTTTGTACTTGCTGTTGTGTGAGCCTTGTTTCACCGACCTGATTGCTCTCTGACTCTTTACTTTCATCTCTAATTATTACTGAAACAATCTGACTTCCAGCCATATCTGTTGCTTCCTTCCAGTTCCATGACTCAACTTCACTTATCACAACATCTCTACTGATACAAACTTCATTAGTAGCAGGATTGTAGAGTCTATATGCACCTGTAGGATGATATCCTACCATTATCATTGCAGTACTTTTATCTCCCAGCTTCTTCCTCCTAGCATCTGGAGTATGTTTGTAACTCACAGAACCAAAAATTTTCAGATTACTCACCACTGGTTTTCTGCCAGACCAGATTTCTTCCGAGACCTTATCTCCAAGCTTCTTGGTAGGACACTTGTTTAAAATATGCACAGCAGTAGACACTGCTTCTCCCTAGAGAGAATGAGGCAAGTTTTTCTGTTTCAGTATACTCCTAGCCATATCAAGAATGGTCTTGTTTCTCCTTTCAGCCAACCCATTATGTTGTGGGGTATAGGGTGCTGTCGTCTCATGTTGGATTCCTAACCCAATACAATATTCTTTAAACTCTTTGGACACATACTCACGTCCTCCATCAGTTCTCAAGATTTTCAACTCTTTTCCACACTGTCTTTCTGCCATAGCTTTGAAACGTTTAAAGACTGTCAGCACGTCACTTTTGGCTTTGATAAGATATAGCCAAATCATCCTACTGAATTCATCAACAAATGTTACAAAATATCTATTCTTTCCAAGTGATAGCTCTTCAAATGGACCACATACGTCTGAATATACAACATGTAGCATAGTGCCCCCACTTCTCACAGTTGTAGCATTGAATCTTTCTCAAATCTTGAGTCTTTCTTCCTCCTCTTACTCTGCCAAAACTACCTTTGGCAGTTCTCATTTGTTCTGTAAGTTCCCCAAAACCTCCTGTGTTCTTTTCTTGATTTAAAGAACCACCTTCTTTATCAAAATGACCACCATTTCTATTTTTCTTCCATCTTCCACGCGAAAAAACTCCTTTTTTATAGCAGCTAACGCCTGTTCTTCTTCTATCTTCACAACATTTTTTGTTACAAACTTCAATTCATGAGCTTCTAGCGATCCCTGCAGCTCCTCCACTGTCATCTCCTCTGTATCTTTTGACTCCTCTATAGCCACTACAATATAGTCGAACTTCATTGAGAGAGTACATAATATTTTTTCAACCATACACTGTTCTGTCACATCTTCTCCACATGCTCTCATCGAATTAACCAAGAGCTGGACTCTGTTGAAATATTCCGCAACACTCTCTGATTCCAACATGACCATCAACTCAAACTGCCTTTTGAGAGCCTGTCGTTTCACGTTCTTGGTTTTCTCTGCTCCACCGTGTACTTTCTGCAAAATATCCCAAGCTTCTTTCGCTGTTTTCGCCTTGGAGATCTTTTCGAAATTCACCGTATCCACACATTGATGAAGAAGACAACGAGCCTTGCAATCCTTATTTCTGTTTGCAACTTCGTCTTTGTCCTTCACACCATCTCTGACCACTTCCAGCAATTCTTGATAACCAAGAATAGCCTCCATTCGAATGACCCAATAATTATAGTTCTTACCATCAAGAACTGGTAGGTTAGATACGAAATTTCCGCTTCCATTGGCTGCCATGACTTTCATTCCCAAGATCTGAACCTTTGCTCTTGATACCACTTGTTGGAGAGCAGAGAAGAATTAAGAAATACTGTATGCACACGTATGCACACTACGTGTTTGTATATTTGCATAAATGTTATATGAAAAGGTATCAAATACAACAAAGAGAGATAACTCTTATATACAGATTTAACTACCAAAAACAGAATTGTAACAACACCAAACAGAAACTGAATTATAATAGAATACAACAAATTCAACCTTATGTTGAGAATAATATTTTAATTTCAATTTTAATATTTCTTCTTACATGATTATTTTATTGTCTTGTAAAATTACATGATTCTTCTTTGGATTTAGGTTTGTTCCATAGTTGTATTATAGACCATCACAAAGTATATAAAACGGTTAGTCTATAATCTTATAATTTAATTTGACCTAATTTCATGTAAATTATAATCTAAATATATTAAGTCAAAATATGTCTAATTCATGATAAATTTTTTTAAATAATCTGACCCATTTTTCTAAACTTTCAAGTTATCACATCGGTTAAGTCTAGTTTGATACCTAACATATACCTACCGATCAAATGAGTATAAAAATCGGGTACCGGCGGGTAATGGAAAGAAGGTAAATGACTGCTTGTTCATTAACGGGGTGGGGGCGGTACCATACTACCCGTCCCACGAGTATCCATTACCTGGTAAAATTTAGGTTTTACAAAGTATTCCCCCCTCTCTTTTCACTCTCGGTTCACTTTTTTCTCTCATTCTAAATATCTACGTTTTACTGCATCTCTGTTGTCGTGACTCCACCTCTGCATGTTTGTTGTCATTCATGACTCCACCACCAGGTTTGCTTCCTTCTGCTATAACTTTGACTCATCAAACTTAGGTATAGTTTCCCCTTCTCTTCCTTATGATTTGTAAATATTGGGTTGAAGATATGTGAAATATAGTTGTGATTTTTCAGGAGGGAGGGTGCCACTGCTGATTTTCTTGAAGGGAGGACTTACTGTGAGTGAAGGTGTGAATAGAGTTGTACCATTTGAGAGTCTGGCTTGACTCTTGTTGTTAAGAACTTAGTTTCCCTATTCTCTTAATTTGTTGGGCACTTGAAGTGGATGATTTGTTCCACCTTACTTTTTAATTGATTTGCAAGTTCTATTGCAGTTGCCCTTTTTAATTGATTTGGTCGAGTATATGATTTTAGCATGCAGGTCTGCAATATCCTCCACCCATTGTATAAAGAGGTCCATCTAGATCAGTCTTACATCTCTAAATAAGTATCCTGCTTGGTCACATTACTCACAATGTTTATTCATTAATTTTAAGATTGAAACTTTTCATTGGAGATTTATTTAAGGCATTTAGAAATACATGGTGATTGGAGTGTGAGTTTTATTTATTTGTGAGAAAATCCAAAGTTTGTTATTATTTTAAAGGATGTAGCATCAGAGTCCATTGCGAATCATGTTTTCCGAACCTTGCCTTTATATTTAACATATAGTGACATCATGAGAAAAATCTTATTTATTGTAATGACATATAAATTATTATATATGATACATCAAGTCTTATACTTGTGTTTTTAATGTGTAAGCTGTCTGTTCAAGAAACCTTTACTCCTATATAACACAATATGTGGAACCAAATGTAAGTGAATCAAATCATATGAAACAAAATAATGATACTGGGGATTCAACTCAAGTCGAAACAAAAAGTTCAGTTCCAACCATTAATTCAAGAAGGTTGGTTTCACATGTTTGGAATTACTATAAAAGACAAAAAAAAAGAAAAAAAAGATAGAAAATAGAAAGCCATAAGTTTATTGCGGCAAAAAAGTATTGGGAGAGGCAAGGCAAGGTAAATCACACTTGCGAAGACAATTAAGACTTGCAAACCTCGAACAATACTAGACATTAAACATCATTTCTAAAAAGACAAAAAATAGGAAGTGAAACCATAATTGTTGAAAATTATGCCTTTAATAAAAATAAAAAAACAATTAGACATGCATTCTGTTGAATATAGATATCGCCGCCGTCAAAAGAGGCGGTCGAAGCGACGCGATGGTATTCTGACTTCCGTTTTCACGTTTTTAAAATGTGACGTTACAACGCCTTTAAGTTGTCCAATAACCGGGCTAGACCTAGAGATGAGGTTTTCGAAAAAGAGCTCTTAGGTTGTCCGATAACCGGAATGAACCTAAGAGCAATCGAAAAGGGTTCTTATGGAGTCGCCACCGAAGTTTTTACCGAAAACATCGGAAAAGAAAAAAAAAAAGGCAGTGGTTTTAAAAAACCAACTTTGCCCATTATAATCAGAGTCAGGTAAGAGAGTTAGTTACGTGTGGGGAAGGTATTAACACCCTTACAACGCCCCTTTCGGGTTCCCTATGATGGACCGTTTATTTCATAAATAAACTTTTAAAATGACGCTTTTATCCTTTTATTCACGGAATTAAGAAAATAATGACTACATGACCCTAACAACTAATGTACAGATAAATATAAAGAAAAAGCGATAAAAGAGAGGGAGAAAGTGAAGAAACCTCTGAATCAAGCTTTCTTGATTAATTCTCTTAAAATAGGACGCTTTTTGGCGGTCCTTCACTCTACAACATCGATTGCTCTTTCTCGCAACATTATAAAATACTCTCTAAGAACACTTAGAAAACTCAGGAAATGCTTCGGAGGGGCTCTAGGAGAAGAATTTGAAGAAATGGTAAAAGAGAAAGTTGAAGAACTATGTGAAAAGAAGGGGAGAACACCCTCCTTTTATAAGGATTCGCGTCTGTCAGGTCGAGACCGTCGTCTCGCCTGACAAGGTTGGCACCACCGTCTCGCCTTTGGCAAATGGCGAGACGGCTGTCTCGCCAATCCAGAAGGCGGTATCTATTTGTCAAATGACGAGAAGGCTGTCTCGCCAAACGGGAAGGCGGTCTCGCTAAGCGAGATGGCGGTCTCGACCTTTCAAGTGGAATTCTTTATTTTTTTCTGTACAAAAAACCTTTCTACTCTAATATGGGGCCTATTAGTCTATCCTAGGGACCTTTTAGGCCTTGCCCATCTTCGAATTGGAGGTTTTCTGCTCTTTATTTTGAGGCCGGACAAGATTTGGGGTCTACAATAGAGAAAATAGAGTTTGAGATTAATCTCCCTTGTGTATAAACCACACATAGGGTAATCTATTTATAATAGAGAGAGGTACAACTAAAAGAGTAACCGAAAGTAAACAAAATATACAGAAGATATTGTTTGATATGGTGGTTAACAATATCTTACAATATCTTAACAATATCTAACCCCCTCAAGTTGGAGCATACAAATCGTATATGTCAAGCTTGTTACAAATATAATCAATTCTAGGCCCCATAAAGACTTAGTGAAAATATCTACTAACTAATCACTTGAGTTAACAAACTCATTCTTGATGTCTCCAGACATAATCTTTTCTCCAATGAAATGATAGTCAATCTCAATGTGTTTGGTCCTCTCATGAAAGATATGATTAGAACTAATATGAGTTGTCACACACAAGTGTCATTTGAGTGACATCTCCAAATTGTAACTCTCTAAGCAATTGTTTGAGCTAAACAAGTTCACAGGCAGCTGAGGCCATAGCTCTATATTATGCTTCTGCACTAGATCTTGCCCCAACACTTTGTTTCTTACTTTTTCATGAGATCAAGTTACCACTAATGGAGACAAAATATCCAGATGTAGATCTTCTATCTGAAGGAGATCCTGCCCAATCAGCATCTGAGTAGCAAACAACTCTTGTATGATTATTAGAACCATATAACAATCCTTTTCCAGGAGATCCTTTAATATACTTTAAGATACGAATGACTGCATTTCAATGATCTTCACATGGTGAATTAAGAAATTGGCTTACCACACTGACTGCAAAGGAAATGTCAGGATGAGTAACTGTAAGATAATTCAATTTTCCAACCAATCTTCTATGCTGCTCAAGATCAGATATAGGCTCCCCCTGATTTGGTAGAAGTTTAGTATTGGGATCTATGGGTGTATCAATAGACTTTGACTCATCAACCCAATTTCCTCCAAAATATCCATGACATACTTCCTCTGAGATATAACAATACCATCATTGGATTGTGCCACCTCAATACCCAAGAAATATCTAAGTTTGCCAAGATCTTTGTTCTGAAAATGGTGACAGAGATGTTGTTTCAACTGAGAGATGTCATGGTTGTCACTACCTATAAGAAATATGTCATCAACATATACTATCAAGTAAACACATCCAGCATTCAAGTGTCGATAAAAGACAGAATGATCTGCTTCACACCGAGTCATACCAAATTGTTGAACAACCTTGCTAAACTTTCCAAACCAGGCCCTAGGAGACTATGTTAGGTCATATAGGGATTTGTGAAGATGACATACTATCCTAGAAGACTCCCCCTGAGCAATAAACCCAGAAGGTTGCTCCATATATATTTCTTCTTGCAAATCACCATTGAGAAAAACATTTTTAACATCCAATTGATAAAGAGGTCATTGTTGAAGAGCGACCATGACGATAAATAAACAAACAGAAGCCATCTTTGCCACGGAGGAAAAGGTATCTCCATAATCCAACCCAAAAATTTGAGTATAATCTTTGGCCACAAGACGAACTTTGAGGCGATCAATAGTACCATCATATCCAACTTTGATAGCAAACATCCACCTGCAACCAACAACAGATTTCCCAGACAGTGACGGGACCAATTCTCAAGTTTCACTATTATGAAGAGCACTTAGTTCATCTATCATGGCCTGACGCCAACCAGGATGAGCTAAAGCTTCACGGACAGTTTTTGGAATGGTCATAGAAGAAATAGAGGAAATACATGTATAAAAAGGTAATGACAGTCGATGATAACTCAAAGCAATATAATGGGGAGAGAGATTACGTGTAGAATGGATACCTTTTCGGAGGGCAATGGGAAGGTCAGACTCAGGTGTCAGATCCGGAGGAGACAGAGTAGTTGGCACTTGAGTGGAGTCACATGGTGGTGGTTGTGATTGGTTTCAGCAACTATAAACTTGAAGAGGCAGTAGAGAAGAAGCTGACTACGGAGCAAGAACTAATGGTGAAGAAGACATAGTTAGAGGGTCACAAACAACAAGAACATTAAATGTACTAGGAGTGTTGACAGGATTGAATAGATACAAAGGTGAAAATTGACTTTTAAAATAAAGAGAGAACTCATCAAAGGTGACATCTGCAGACACAAAATAACGATCAAGAGAAGGAGAAAAACATTTGTATCCTTTTTGTGATCTTGTAAACCCTAAGAAAACACATTTATGTGATCTAGGAGAAAGTTTGTTAAGACCAGAACTGAAATTATGAACAAAACATGTAGACCCGAAAACTCTTAGAGGTAAGGGATGAAGTGGTTCATGCGGGAATAAAATGGAATAAGGTATTTTATTATCTAAAACCAAAGAAGGCATGTGATTAACAAGATAACATGCAGTAAGAAGAGCATCACCCCAAAAATGTTGAGGAACCTCTCCATGAAATAAAAGAGTGCAAGTTGTTTCAATAAGATATCTATTTTTACGTTCAACTACACCATTGTTGAGGTGTATAAGCACAAGAATTTTGATGCAAAATACCGTGAGAAGTCATGAATTGTTTAAAAGAATGAGAAAGATATTCACGACCATTATCACTACGCAAAACTCTAATAGAAACATCGAACTGAGTTTGAATTTCATTAAAAAAAGTTTGAAATATATGAAATAATTCAGAAGGATTTTTCATTAAAAATAACCAAGTGCATCTGGAATAATCATCAATGAAAGTAACAAAGTATTGAAAACCTAAAGTAGACTTAATGCGGTTAAGTCCCCAAATGTCAGAGTGAACCACGGTAAAAGGGGACGAAGCACCATGTGTGACACTACGAGGAAAGGAAATACGACTATGTTTGCCTAATTGACATGACTCACACGCCAAACTAGACAAGTTGGACAAGGCAGGGACAAGTTTCTGTAACTTGGCAAGACTTGGATGACCTAACTGAGCATGAAGAAGAGAGGGAGACTCCATAACTGCACCAACATGTGTAGAGGAACAGAGATGATAAAAAACATGAGACTCACATCCTGTACCAATCACCTGTTTCGAAATCTGTTCCTGTAAACACACAAAATTGTTGGTAAAAGAAACAACACAATCAAGAGAACGGGTTAGACAATTGATGGACAACAGGTTAAAAGGAGACCCAAGGACATAAAGAACATTATCAATGATTAAAGAAGGGAAAAGTTTAAAAGTTCCAACACCATGAGATGATACTCTAGAGCCATCAGCCAGTGTAACAGAAGGTAAAAGATTAGGAAATGATAAAGAGGAGAACAAAGATTTGTTACCAGTAATATGGTTAGTGGCTCTTGAATAAAAAATCCAAGGATCAGGAGAAGAGGATTGGGTAAGACCAACAAAATATGTACCTGTGTGTGCGACAGATGTAGTGGAACTAGAAGACTGTTGATCCTTATACCATTTGAGAAATTTGTTGAACATAGTAGGTATGTCAGATGCAATAGAAGAAGGAGGAACCGTAGTAGACAAAGGTGGGGAAAGATCGGTCTGAACAACTGCAGCAGATTGAGGAGGACGACCATGTAATGCATAACACTTGTTAATCTTATAACCTAGCTTGCCACAATGTTCACACGTAGAACATCATTTTCCCTGTTTGCAAGGGCGAGTCCGGTCA